AAGAATTTACCTCAATAGAAAAGGTCCAGATTCCATTATTAAATCTAGCTGCCTAGTCTCATACAAAGTCTTCTCAAAATAGATCTGCCCCCACACCTGAAAATGTGTAAGGATTTTTTTCTTATTAAATCAGGAATGCACTATAAGGCATTTTGCAGGGACTTACCCCAAACCAAGATGCTTCATTGGTGTCTAATCTTAATTTAGGGTCACTAATTTTCTTCAGATCTGGAATAGCTGGTGAACTGTAACCCAGGACAAATCCAAAGCTGAGGGGTCCCAAAACAGCAGCAAAGGTGGCCAGATATAGCTTCCTGTTCTGGACTTTGCTGAAAGAGAGCCAAACATCAAACAGAAATTCTCCATTTCTGTACAACTGTTGGTGATTCAGTTAGTCAAACTGGCATTACTGCAAAAGCCAAAGAAAAGTCTGTTTTGTAATATGCTTTATAACTAAAATTGTGTGACCTGGTCAATTAAGTATGTAAATAGATCAGTTAATGTTTCAGAATCCTCAGCACAATCCATCAGACAAGCTCAGTCTAGGCAAGAATCTAGAGACATCTGAAAATATAAGGCAGGCATTTAAATGTTCCAGGACACAAATTTAAATTGCTTAAATTAGTTTTAGGGAAAATGAGGTGGAAAAGGCTGTCAATGAAGTAGAAAGTGAGGACAGATTCTGAACTAGGGATCCACAATTATCCAATAAGCCTGTATCAGAGGCAATCGGTGGTGGTGGTGGTGGTGGTGATGAGGAAGCTGGTCTCCGTGGTAAGCCAGCTTTTAGGCTAGCTCCCAAGGAGCCGCCTGCCCTCCTGTACTTACTGCCTCTGATACAAGTCCACAAAGGCAGGAGCACAGGGGGGCAGGCAGAGTGGCGCTCAGGGGAGGCGATTTAAAAAACCAGCTTCCCACAAGCACTGGCTCTGACCCACTACCTCTGACAGGCAGTAGTGCAGGGGGCAAAGGTGGAGGTAGGCAGGAGCAGGTACACACAGCAAGCTGGCTTTCAAGATGGGTCCTTGTGCATACTGGCTCTCTTCCCCCTCCCCCACCCAACCCGTCTCCCACTGCTGCCTCTATCAGAGGCATCAGGGGGAGGGCGGAGGGGCAGGTGAGATCCGGTGCTCATGGGGAACCAGCTTAAAAGCCAGCTCCCACCTGCCTCCCCCCACATGTGTGTGTAACTGCTGAAACTTTTACAGGTTACACAAATACGTGTTTAACATCCCTGTTTTGAACAGAACATAAACATAAACTAGGGTTGCCAGATACCCAGTTTTCAGCTGAACGCCAGGTCAAAGAAGGATCTTCCCCAGCCATTGGAGAGAAAAAAACAAAACCCCACACACCTATAAGTCTTAGTCAACAGCATCAGATAACAGCTACAATTAGGGATGTAAAAGGCTAAGTGGTAAACATCACCCGTTAACCTTTCATATCCCTACCTCCCTCTTGTACTCATACTCATCCTGTCCCAGAGTGTGCCCAATAATCCTTCCCAGGCCCTACCCATGTGCCATCACTGCACCACAAATCAGGCTCTCTGTGCACATCAGAATTGCCAGTAGGTGAAGTGCTGGTAAACGGGCTTTTATTGTAAGGCAGTGTTTCTCAAACTGTGCTCTGCGGGGAGCAAGGTTGACAAACTGGAAACATCAATAGGTACAACACATACAATCAGTGGACCACTGGGGCATAAATTTTTATGCATGTAAAGAACTCCAGAGCCCAAAAAGTTTGAGAACCGCTGTTGTAGGGGAACCAGAGTATCTGGTGCGCACATAGTGATCTGGACTTGAATTTACAGGTATTTAATTCTCTCAAAGCTAGACTTAGCAAATGTCCCCTCCCCCCCCCCATTAGCAAAGCCAATGACATTAGTAATAAACGCAATGTCATTACACATATCTTTGTATTTGTTTCTGACTAATTTGGAATCAAAGGTTTCAGCCAGATCAAACACACAACACTAAAAAGAGATTTAGTAACAGAAGTGAAAGAGGTCTCTCAGGAAGTTCTCTTAATTACAAATATTTAGTTCTAAACCACAGCCATAACTTCTGTCACCTGATCCTCCACCGAAATTGCTGACATGGCTGAGGGAACTGCATTAGTTATCTAATCTCAAATAACTACCCCATAATCTTCTGTCCACTTATGTTACATATCCTTTTATTGTCTGAAGCGTATTGAAACCTTTAGCATTTCAAAGTAATCTGTATTTAACTTGAGATTAAAAGAATGCATCTTTAGAGTATTTGAGACTTTTCACTGCTGCTCTAAACATATTTTGGAATTTCAGATTTCAGAACAGAGGAGGGATGGGGGGGGGGAGGTAAATGTCTGTGAGCTAATGAAATTAGAGGTGATAATTGGGGAAGCTATCTTTGTAATGGGTAAGATAATTAGTGTCTTTGTTGAGACCCAGGCATAAAATGTCAAATTTAAGCATGAATGACAGTTCAGAGGTTTCTCTTTCAAGTCTGGTGTTAAAATGTCTTTGAAGCAGTATGCAGGTAATCAAGTCATTGAGACAATGCCCTTTCTGGTTGAAATGGCAAGAAACTGTTTTTTCTTTGTGATATTGTCTGATATCCGTTTTGTGTGCATTGATTCTTTGGCGAAGTGTCTGAGATGTTTGTCCAATTTACATAGCAGACGGACACTGTCGTTTCGTGTCATGCGCCAACAGTGTCCGTCTGCTTTGATTGTATCCCTTTGGTACAGCCGAGGCCAGGGACTGACGCCGCACCAGGGAGGGTGTGACATAGTGGGGGTACCTTGCTGGTTGCTATGCTGGGGCTGTGGGTGACCCCCACTGGCTGCTGTCTGTAGCAGGACCCAGCAGGACAGGGGATGAGTCACTAGACAAGGGTCTCTCAACCTGTCTGACCAGCTACCCTCCCAGGGAGAGAAACAAAGGAAGGTGGGATGCCGCCCCTGGCTGGGGGCAGGGCTGGAAGAGAGTTTTAGTTTCTGTCTGGGAGCATGGAGGAGACAGCCTAGGGAAAGGGGCTGGGATTTAGGGGCCCAGTCTCCCCCATCTCAAGGGGGCCTGAGGCATCCGAGCCCGGTTCCTGTAAGCGGATGACATCTGTGCTGTGTCCTGGAGACGCAATAAACTCCCTCTATTCTACTGGCTGGCGGGGTCTGTCCGTGCCGCTACGGGGGTGCAGGAGGCGGGAAACCCAACGCGCCGTCACAGAGGGACGGAGCCAAGGGGCCCTGGAGCCAGCGACGCAGACTCGCGCCGCGTGCCACCAAACCCGACCTTTACCTCAGGCGGTCCGCTCGCCCCGCGCCCAGCAGCGGCTGGGACTCCTCCGCAGACATGCCGGCGGGATGCAGACTCCAGCCCTTTCCGGAGACGCTCTAGGCAGCAAGACTGTCGCGCTCTATGGCTCAGGGGAAAGCCGCGCTCGGTCGTCTTCTCTCTCGGTCCCTTCATTAGCACTGGGGACCGGAAATAGGCCGTGGCGCCCGGAGATGACGTTGCTGTGCGCGCCGGAAGCTGTGGCTCCAGGCAGTGGCTGCCGTGGGCTTCGGTGGCAGTGGGGCCGAGCCCGGGCAGAGGGACGGGGCTGGAGCCAGCTTGTCCCGCAGGCTCCGGTGACGCGCGGCGGGGCAGCGACCGTCTGTGCGCGCGCGCGCGTGGCGGCGGGAGACATGGCTGCAGCGCGAGCCCGCTCCCGGGCGCGCTCCGGGGGGCCCAGCGAGATGCCACCTGCCGAGAGGTGCCCCGCGCCCGACGCCTACCTGAGGTGAGTGACGCCGGGACGTAGGACCACCGTCCCGGGCCCGTGAGCAGCCGGCTGTCGCTGCCAGGACCTGCCCCGCAGTTGGTGCCGCGCCAGGCTGTAACGTCTTTAGCCACGCTGGGGGAGCTGCTCGTGAGTAAGCAACTGATTAGTGGGTCTGCTCTGTACGTGGCCAACTGAACCCTTAACACGTTACTACCGCTGGGACTAGGAACAACAGACTGTCCAGTTAGCTGCTTGGCCCAAATCAGTAATGAAACAAGTGCTGGAAAACTCAGAACAAATTTCTGCAAAATTTGCAGACACAAGCGATGGGTGGGTCAACTGGATGTTAAGCTTTTGTTTTCCTACCCAAAATAATTAGAATAATTACTCAGAAACTGAAACAGATTTTGGTTAAAACCCAATAAAATTGAATTCCATTCCTTAGGCCATGTAATTAACTAGCTCTAGATTTTTGTGTGTACACCAAACAAGGATCAGAGATTTTAAGCACTTGCTACATGCTTTTCACGGAAAAAACTTCACCAGAGTGCAAAGTGGGAGTAGCTATGAGAAATTAACAAAACTCATAGTAAACTGTAGTCATGTCAGCTGTCTTCCCATAAAACTTTTTATTAATTTCGAAGCCGTTACTAATCTTGAGGAAAGTAAATTTTTGGTATCTGTAGGTGAATGTGCTTGTAAAACAAGTTGCTCTTCCTATAGATCTGCTGTTCTTTTAGTAATGTTTATGTTTGGAAAATATGAAGTATTCTCAAACACCAGTGCTGTCAGTAGAGGAAACTAAGGTGTTGACTGAACAGATAGACTTACACAGGTATTAAAAGCTAAAACTGTCTATACAATAACATCTACTGTTTGTAGCTCTAATGCAGAAAAGCTACAATTTCCTGGCATAGAGCAATTTCCTATGGCTAGAAAGTGTCTGGATCATTTAGGGTCTGTCCTTCATGACTGTTCTTTCCCTTCTTCCTTGCAATGCTTTTAGGATACTTACCTTATTTTGCTCTTAGAGACACATTTTTTCCAGTGTCTTGCAGTCTTAATACATGGGATTTTGATTTCTCAAACAAGCTCCAGCTATCTGTCTAATAGATTAAACAGTACAAGTGGATAGTGATACACTTTTTGAAAGTAACTCGTGGTGATTTTAGTGACCTCAGTTTGAAGTGTTGCTTATTTGTCTAACCCTATAAGAATCTGTGCATAAAATCTTATGTACTTCTGTTTCAGTGTGTTATTAGCCTGCCTGAATGCATAGAGTTAAATCAGAGGAAGCTGTAAAAGAGAAACTCCTAGGTAAAGAAAGAATGGTGGAGACACTTGAAGTAAACAGATTCAGAAGAGGTTAAGATAACAGTGACTGAGCCATTAATTGGGAAGAAGCTATTTACATGGCTCCATCCCTGCTAGAATGCTTTATTCTTCCTCATGCTAAAACTAGGATTAAAGGAGGATACTAAATCATTGCAGAACCCCAGGCCTATAAAAGGGAGTTTGTTGAGTGAATTGCTAGGGAACATCAGTGAGAGCTGACAGGAATACAAAGACTTGCAAACTGAAAGGAGGAACTGAGATTTCACCAACCCAAAGATGGAGGGACCTGATTTAGGTAACTTTCGCCAAAGTTGTCAAGGAAAGGATTATAGGGTAGGTAAGAGAGAACATACATATAGATATTTATTGATTTTACTTTATGGTCTGTGTGCTTTTTATCCTTTCCTGAATAAGTGTTTTGAATAAAGAGTTTAGGGCAGGGCTACTCAACTTTGGAAGCCCCGGGGGGCCACAATGATACAGTACATGCTGAGGGCCACAACTTATATGTGGTTGCATATACATGCAAAAATATATCCAAATATATGCAAATACCTTCTTTCATGCTGATGGGCATGAATACAAACATTAAGGCAAGTCTGCACAACACACAGGCCCCACTTAAGTCAGTTCTGCTGATATAAAATGCAGTATTGCAATAATATGCAATATTTATCCAATTTCCACCCATATGACAGCACTTTTAATGAGCAAGGACAGTCCAGGAATTTAACTACTAAAGCACATATCAACAGAAGACCATTATATTGACTCCTTTTTTGTTTTGGCTCCCACCTGTGGTCCGCATGTTGAGCCCTGTCTGAACCCAAACTACACCGCAGGTCGCAAACAAACGGTCCGCGGGCCACATGCGGGCTGGTTTAGGGATTCACTTTAATTAGCTGCTGTCCAATGTTCCTGGAGTGACAGATCTTACAAATGTCAAACCCCCATGGGGTTGTTGCATTAACACATTGGGAGACAGTGTGGCTGCTATCTGGAGATCCAGTCCTAAGGTAGCTAAAAAGCATGACTTTACCCAAAGAGAGGTAAAGGTAATGAAGCCTGTACTCAACAGGGACTAAAAAGGATTTAAACCACCATTCTCCTGAAAACATGACACTAGTCCTTAATAAAAGAAACATTAACTTACTCTGGCCAAATACATTTCCGAAGACCACTGAATCTCCTTTGTACTTACTCTATATTTATTGAATGAATGAAAGTACTTTTTCTACACTGACTTACTTTATCAATGTGTGAGGCTGAGAGTGCCAAAAAATCATGATTAAAGATGAAAAATGTATACATTTTCTTTTTGAACAGAACTAACACAATATTTTGATGTACCACAGGTAAATTTTTCCATAACCTTATGGAGAAAAAGGACTTTGAAGCATGGCTTGATAACATTTCTGTTACATTTCTTTCTCTGACGGAACTGCAGAAAAATGAAACTCTGGATAACCTGATTAGCTTGAGTGGAGCAGTCCAGCTCAGGCACCTCTCCAATAACCTAGAGATTCTCCTTAAGCGGGACTTCCTCAAACTCCTTCCACTGGAACTCAGTTTTTATTTGTTAAAATGGCTTGATCCTCAGACCTTACTCACATGTTGCCTCGTGTCAAAGCAGTGGAATAAGGTCATAAGTGCCTGCACAGAGGTGTGGCAAACTGCTTGTAAGAACTTGGGTTGGCAGATAGATGATTCTGTTCAGAACCCTCTGCATTGGAAGAAGGTTTACTTGAAGGCTATTTTAAGAATGAAGCAACTGAGAGACCATGAAGCCTTTGAGACATCCTCATTAATTGGACACAGTGCCAGAGTATATGCACTTTACTATAAAGATGGACTTCTCTGTACAGGTAGGAAGGCCAGTAGCCTATTATAATGTTTAAAGATTTCACATCTTTGAGTTTTACCATTTTTTGGTAATAAATAGAGTTTTTAATCTAGTTTAAATAAGTCTCACCCTGCATGAGTCAAGAGGAAATACTTAATTTAAGACAAATGTGGAAAACCTCAGTGTAACTCTGGGAATTTGTGTCACTATACTGTGCTCAGCTGTCTTGTTTTTAAACTGTAGGTTCAGATGACTTGTCTGCAAAGCTGTGGGATGTAAGCACAGGGCAGTGCATATATGGTATCCAGACACACACTTGTGCTACAGTGAAGTTTGATGAACAAAAGCTTGTAACAGGATCCTTTGATAACACGGTAGCCTGCTGGGAATGGAGCTCCGGGACCAAGATCCAACATTTCAGAGGGCATACAGGTGCAGGTATGCTGAGCTCTTATTCAACGTTTAAGTCCGCCAGTAAAATTGTGAATTCGTCCTGATCAAATTAGAAATGGAGATTGGAATTGGACCACTGTACAGCAGTGAATTTCTGCTGTGAGTGTCATGTCAGGAATCATGTTTCTCGTTATTTTGGTGGGGAACTTTCCAGAAAAAAAAAATCTGCAAAATAGGCCCACTGGCTCTACCTACGCTTTGGAGTAAGGCCTAGAGACTTAGGTGCACCCTGGTTTGCGGGGAGGAGTGATATAATTCTTAGGAATGTTAAATAATGATTAATAAGCTAATTGAGTAGTTGATGGAATTTCCATCGACTGCTCGATTAGTTGATAAGGGGGTTAGCTCCTGGGGGCGGCACTGCTTGTTAAATGCAGTAAGAGCCTGGGTGGCTCTGATACAGGGACAGCCGGGGGGGAGCGCGTAGTCAAGTAGTGACTCAACTACTCGACTAGTTGCTTACATCCCTAATAATTCTTGGTCTGCTTTGTGTCTGGAGCATAATTCGCCAGAGCAGGGTTTTGGAGGAAGGCTGAGGTTGAGCCAGTGGATCTGAACTTGCCATCCCAGGTAATCTCTTCATATCTTTTTTTGTCTGGAGAAGGTTACAGCTGATGTAACAGGCTGCAGTAGCAGCTGCAGATCCACATGGAGGGAGAATTCCCGCTTTAGAACCCTCTTCCAAGTCTACCTCCTGTTCAGCTTGGTTAACTGGACTAGTCGCTAGGTCCACAGTTTGCCCATTTGAGATGGAAGGGTATCTGGAATGTATTAATTCTGCTATATAAACATACACACTTACAAATTCATTTTGCACCAAGGACAGGAGGCTGCCCAGCAGAGGCTTTAAATAGGTTTTCAGAACAAGGTTATTTAAAACAGAATTACTTCTGGAATACCTACAATGGGGGCTGGCTTAAATAATTAGGTTTTAAATTCAAACACCAGTCAAAAAACAACCCTTATTAATTGAGATACTGTGCTAATTTCATAGAGAACTACCATTAGCCTTGGGATCTAAGCTTTAAGAGTTGGAAATAATATTCCTGATTTTAAAGTTACCATTTATCTGTTTGAACTAGAGCTGTTGATCAATCATGCGAGTTAATTAACTCAGATTAATAGCAATTTAAAAACAAACTTGTGGTTAATGGCATTTATGCAAGAGAGTGCTACCCCCTTCTTATTTACAGTGTCACCTGACAGTGAAAACAGAGTGCTCACATGGCACTTTTGTAGCTGGCGTTGTAAGGAATTTACATGCCAGATGTGCTCCTCACTTTGTGTGCCCTTCATGCTTCAGCCACCATTCCAGAGGACATGATTCCACACTGAACATAACATAAGAACATAAGAATGGCCTACTGGGTCAGACCAAAGCTCCTTCTAGCCCAATATCCTGTCTGCCAACAGTGACCACTGCCAGGTGCCCCAGAGTTGTGGACCGAAGACAATGATCAAGCAATTTGTCTCCTGCCATCCTTCTCCAGCCTGTGACAAACAGAGGCCAGGGGCACCATTCCTTACCCCCTGGCTAATAGCCTTTTATGGACCTAACCTCCATGAATTTTATCTAGCTCTTTTTTAAACTCTGTTATAGTCTGAGCCTTAACAGCCTCCTCTGGCAAGGAGTACCACAGGTTGACTGTGCGCTATGTGAAGAAGAACTTTCTTTTATTAGTTTTAAACCTGCTACCCATTAATTTCATTTGGTGTCCTCTAGTTCTTATATTATGGGAACAAGTACATAACTTTTCTTTATTCACCCTCTCCACACCACTCATGATTTTATATCTCTCTTATCATATCTCCCCTCAGTCTCCTCTTTTCTAAACTGAAAAAGTGCCAGGTTCTTTAGCCTCACCTCATATGGGACCTGTTCCAAACCCCTAATCATTTTAGTTGCTCTTTTCTGAACCTTTTCTAATGCCAAAATGTCTTTTTTGAGGTGAGGAGACCACATCTTACACAGTATTCAAGATGTGGGCGTACTATAGTTTGGTATAGGGGCAGTAAGATATTCTTCATCTTGTTTTCTATCCCTTTTTTAATGATTCATAGCATCCTATTTGCTTTTTTGACTGCCGCTGCACACTATGTGGAGGTTTTCAGAGAACTATCCATGATAACTCCAAGATCTCTTTCCTGATTCGTTGTAGCTAAATTAGCCTCCATCATATTGTATGTATAGTTGGGGTTATTTTTGCCAATGTGCATTACTTTACACTTATCAACATTAAATTTCATCTGCCATTTTGCCCAATCGCTGTGTTTGAGATCTTTTTGAAGTTCTTCACAGTCTGCTTTGGACTTTACTATCTTCAACAGTTTAGTATTGTCCACAAATTTTGCCACCTCACTGCTTACCCCTTTCTCTAGATAGTTTATGAATAAGTTGAATAGGATTGATCCTAGGACTGACCCTTGGGGAACACCACTAGTTACACCTCTCCGTTCTGAAAATTTACTGTTTATTCCTACCCTTTGTTTCCTGTCTTTTAACCAGTTATCAATCCATTAGTGAGTTTCCATTAGCAACGGGTGGTCCACAGAAAGGTTTGCATTGAGCCAGGTGGGCCACGGGCCAAAAAGTTTGAGACATACTGATTTACAGTTACATACTTAATATTATTGTGTATGTATTTGGTGGGGTGGGGAGCAGAGCACACAGTAATCATGTGGCTCTCTTGATTAGCAGTGGTTGCAAATGTGGTTCCCATGTGACTTAACTGTGAGTACCACCATTCTACTGGAACCTGTTGTTAGCTAAGTAACGTTTACTGATATTCCTGCTCTAACACAAAAACCAACTATCCCCAAGTGTATATAGCACATATGTTTTAGCATAAGTAACTCTGAAAGGTAACATACAAGTAACTACATATTTGTATGTAATTGTAGGAGGAGGAAGAAAAATTGTTCTCCTTGGCCTCTGAGGATAGGACAAGAAGCAATGGGCTTAAACCACAACAAGGGAGGTTTAAGCTGGACATTTAGGAAGTTTTTCCTAACTGTCAGGGTGGCTAAACACTAGAATAAATTGCCTGTGGAATCTCTATTTCTGGAGATATTTAAGAGCCAGTTAGATAGACTTACTATTGTTTTAACTAATTTGTCTGGTACTGACGTTAGACTTACTGGTCTGTAATTGCCAGGATCGTCTCTAGAGCCCTTTTAAAATATTGGCGTTATGTTAGCTGTCTTCCTGTCCTTGGGTACAGAAGCTGATTTAAAGGATAGGTTACAAACCACAGTTAATAGTTCCACAGTTTCATGTTTGAGTTCTTTCAGAACCCATGGGTAAATACCATCTGGTCCCAGTGATTTGTTACTGTTAACAAATGATGATGCTTGTTAAAAAAAATACTGCTTTTTTTTTTTTTTTTTTTACAGTGCAATTAATTGTAATCAAAATTAAGTATAAAGTGAGCATTGTACACTGGTTTGTTGTAATTAAAATTATATTTGAAAATGTTGAAAATATTCAAAAAATATTGAAATAAATGGTATTCTGTTATTACCAATGTGATTAATCATGGAATTTCTTAAAATTACTTGACAGTCCTAGTTTGAACCATTAAAACCGTTGAAGATTGATGTTATTAGGGTTGCCATTTTAATGAGGATACATGAGGTGGTGCTACTTATTTAAAATCCTTTTTGCTTATAGTTTTTAGTGTGGACTACAACGATGAACTTGATGTTCTTGTCAGTGGTTCTGCAGACTTCACTGTGAAAGTGTGGGCCTTGTCAACAGGAATGTGCCTGAATACACTTACTGGACACACTGAATGGGTCACTAAGGTAGGGTTGTATTGATGTAGTCAAATCTTGCTTTGGAAGATAATACTGGAGTGTGTTTTACACACATTGCATGTCTCCTCAAGTGTAGTATGCCTTCTCTTGCAGCCATTCAGGGGGTGGACTGTCAGTAGCCATTAGAGATAAGCAGTTGACACAGGGATTGTCAGTTACAATTCATCAAAGAAAATTACTGTTAAGATTAAAAAAATAATCTTTTGAAAGAAGAGAGACAAGATAGGTGAGGTAATATCTTTTATTGGACCTACTTCTGCTGGTGAGAGAGACGGGCTTTTGACCCACAAAGGTCTTCAGGTCTTATTACCTCACCTATCTACTTTCTCTAATCTCCTGGAGCCAACACAGCTACAGCTATATTTCACAGAAGAGAGACTCACAGAAGCTGTAGTGAAAACTTTGCATCTGCTTACATGAAATAGTTCCTATAACAAAGTGAATGTGGTGCTTAGCATTCAATGTTTTATTCCAGGAATGAGTGTGATTGTACTGAAACCAAGCTTCTTTGAAAGGCATAAATACAATTAAAAAAGTGCTGCTTGTCTGTAAAGTGTAGTCAGAATAAAGGTGGCAAAGATTTCTCAAATGAGGAAAAGTGGAATACTTAGCTCTTAATTGGTCAGAGGAATTCTAGAGACCTGTTTAACATGAGAGGGGATTTCTATCACAGTGAGTTGTCAGCAGTGGGAACACAAAGTCTTAATTGTTTGGAGTTCTTTTTGATAAAGTATTTTTCCTTGAAAAAACCTGTGCCCCAAAGGCACAATCATAGCCAAATTGCAAATATATTTAAACCATCATTACTCAAATTGTCAAAAAGCCAGAACAAATTTTTCATTACATTTGAATAGGTAGTTTTAACATTTTTCAAAATAGAAAATCTGCTTAGTGAACTTTAGATCTATTTATCCGTTTCTTCAATTGCAGGTGGTTTTGCAGAAGTGTAAAGTTAAATCTCTTATGCATAGTCCTGGAGATTACATTCTTTTAAGTGCAGATAAGTATGAAATCAAGGTATGTACTATGTCTGTTTAAATGTGTACCACAGTGCGGAGAAGTAAAATACTGTCTGCATTTAGGGCATGCAGTGGCGTTTATAAAAACACATAGGCTGTGGGGGAAAATTGTAAATGAAGAGTTGTATATAAGACAAATGGCTTTTTGAAAGCTGGTACTGGTCTCTGCTTTTCTTTGTATTTTAAGACCGAGTACCAGATGGCTGTGTGCATTAAATAGGTAGCTCTGGGTTTGTAGTAAGGCCAAACTTACTCTCTCAAGTGTACTCTTGTTGCAAACTTTTCTTCAGTGGAGGTGTGTGAAGATTGGGAGGAGGAGTTGTGATTTTAATAAGTAGTTTAGAGCTGCGCACTTAAGAAATGTGCTCGTTGGGAGTTAACTTTCTCTACCCAATCAGATAGTTAGTTAAAACAGTTGAGGACTAGTAAAAGCTTTAGGTGAAATATTTGTTGTTGCTATACCTAGTCTGTTTTCTTGTTCATTTAATCTGTATGCAAGACACTAGAGCCCCTTCAATAGAACCCTTCAGGCTTAAGTCAAGACATGCGCTATCAGTACTGTTGTTCTTCTGTAGACCGAAAGGAAGGAGAACTTGAGAACCACTACATTCTTTTTGGAGTCATGAACTCTACTTCCAGAAATTTTATAGCTTATCTAAAGACACCACCCAATAAATAAGTGCAAAGCAATTGCTTGCTCTATGTTCATGTATCAATTTACAGTTTGAGCTGCTTAACAATGGATTTTTTTTTTAAATTGTAGATTTGGCCTATTGGAAGAGAAATAAACTGTAAATGCTTAAAAACCCTGTCTGTATCTGAAGATCGCAGCATCTCGCTGCAGCCCAGACTGCACTTTGATGGTAAATATATAGTGTGCAGTTCAGCTCTAGGATTGTACCAGTGGGACTTTGCCAGCTACAATATTCTCAGGTAAATCTTTCAGTTTGAGACTAATGTGCACGTGAAGCTTTATTGTTGAAATTGAAGAAAACAATCTGGTTCAAACCCACTATGGTAGACTTTCTGGAAATGTCAGAACACAGTGGTTGCAAATCACATACAACTTTGATATGAAAATACTGTAAACATGTACTTTGATTTAATTTACCCACTTTCATCCTCGTTGAACTTATTGGGCTTTATTGTGTCAGTTGTTACACAATCAAATGTTATGCTAGTTTTATCTTGCCCCAGGGTCTAGTACTCTTTTGTCTCTGATAGGAATAATCTATATTGCAACTTTTCAGTCTAAATTGCTGATCCTGCTTACTGCAGTTGTGTAAATAAGAACCAGCAGAGGCATGAAGCTTGGTTTTGGAGGGAGAATCTCTCATTGCTCTCTGTTGGCCCACTGATCACACCACAGAGCCATTTGATGGGACAAGACAGCATAAGGACCAACTCTCTGGTGAAACAAAAGTCAGGACTGTGCAGCACTTCTAAGACTAACAAGATGGTTTATTAGGTGATGAGATTTCATGGGCCAGACCCACTTCCTCAGATCAAATTGTGGAAGAAAATTGGCATGACCATATATATCAAAGGGATACAATCAAAAAAAGTGAACACACATAAAAGAGACAAATCAGATTTTAGAACAGGGCGGGGATGAGTGGGGGAGGTTAATGTCTATGAGATAATGACATTAGAGGTGATAATTGGGGAAGCTATCTTTGTGATGGGTAAGGTAATTAGCATCTTTGTTAAGGCCCATTTGTAAAGTGTCAAATTTAAGCATGAATGACAGTTCAGAGGCTTCTCTTTGAAGTCTTGTGTTAAAGTCTCTTTGAAGCAGAATGCAGGTAGTCAGGTCTTTGAGACAATGTCCAGACTCCAAAAAGGGGAGACTCCATATAAGTGTACGATTATCAAGTGCTCCTACGAGGGAATATTTTCAGAAGTGCCCTAGTCCCACTGACTTTCAAGGAGACTTAGGCTTCAAGGCCCAGATCCTTGGGTATGTAGTTGTCTACCTTATGTTGAAATCATTTGGCAGTTAAGCATCTTTTGAGAATCTGGACCCAAAGTACTGGTCAGCTTTTGGAAATCTTATCCTCCTTTCAAATTGTCAATTGAGAATAAGCACTCAGTTTGAGATTCCTATTTAGGACAACTCTGTGTGTTTGTTTTGAAGATTAAGCATGTGCTGACTCTAGCAAATGTTGTTTTCTTCCCCAAATTACATCACTGCTTGATTACTTTTTAGTTTATTCTGTATACACCCTTCCCTGTGCTGATTGTTGTTCCAATATCCTGCCATTTATTTTCAGTCTCACTTTACCTGGCCTCCTTGCTCCCTCATCTTCTACCTTCTCCTTTGCCTTATAATGCAGGGGAACCCTTTCCCCTTGCCTCTTTTAGCTAAGCTCCTCTAGACTAATCTCATCCAAAATTAAACAAACAGCTTTGTACTAGCACGTGGTGCAAACATGGAGTTAAGGAATCTCTCTCTGGATGGAGACCAGTACATTAAGGCCTTGACTATTGCTAGGGACCACAGGTGTAAAACAATAGTCATATTGGATTATTAACCTAAAAGTTCATCTTTCTGTTAAAGCAGTTCTATTTTTTTGAGCTTGGATGGAAGCTAGCATCCTTGTTTTTGACTTGTGCCTCTCTGGTTTCCTATATTAGAAAAAATCTGAGTTGCAGTGTTGCAGGGGAACACTTAAGTGACTCTGTGTTAATAAGGATACTTGACTCTTCCGTGGTAATACGGTTGAAACACTACTCTGGTTACGCTATATGTAGATGACGGGTGGTGGTGGTTGGGGACTCCCTCCTAAGAGGGACTGAGTCATCCAGCTGCCGTCTGGACCTGGAATCTCGAGAGGTGTGCTACTTACCGGGAGCTCGAATTCAGGATGTGACTGAGAGGCTTACCAAACTGATCAAACCTTCGGATCACTACCCCTTCCTGCTTTGCCACATGGGAACTAATGATACGGCCAAGAATGACCTTGAGCGGTTACTGCGGATTATGTAGCGCTGGGAAGAAGGATCCAAGAATTCGGCGCGCAAGTGGTGTTCTCGTCCATCTTTCCTGTTGAAGAGAAAGGACTGGGCAGGGACTGTCAAATTAAGGAAGTAAATGCGTGGTTGTGCAGGTGGTATCGCAGAGAGGGCTTTGGTTTCTTCAACCATGGGACTCTGTTCTGGGCACAAGGATTGTTAGGAAGAGATGGGATCCACATAACCAAGAGGGGAAAGACCATCTTCGCGGACAGGCTTGCAAACCTAGTGAGGAGGGCTTTAAACTAGGTTCGTTCGGGGATGGTGACCAAAACCCTGAGGGGAGTGGGAAAGTTGGATACCGGGAAGAAATGCAAAGAGGAACGAGCAAGAAAGGAGGACCCCTGATTCGAATGGAGAAGATAGGGCGATCAACTGGTTATCTGAGGTGTTTGTACACTAATGCGAGAAGCCTGGACAACAAATAGGAAGAACTGGAGGCCGTGGCCGAGTCCAAGAAATATGATTTAATTGGGATAACAGAGACTTGGTGGGATGACTCACATGACTGGAATGCTGTCATGGAAGGGTATAGACTGTTCAGGAAGAACAGGCAGGGGAGAAAAGGAGGAAGAGTTGCACTATAAGTAAGAGAGCACTACGATTGCTCTGAACTTCAATATATAGACGGGGGGAAAAACCTGTTCAGAGTCTATTGGTTAAGTTTAGAGGTGCAAACAACAGCAGTGATGCTGTGGTTGATCTCTACTACAGCCACCGAAGCAGGTGGATGAGGTAGATGAGGCTTTCTTTGGACAACTGAGAGAAGCTTCCAGATTGCAGGCCTTGGTTCTTGTGGGGGAATTTAATCACCCTGACACCTGTTGGGAAACCAATATGGCAGTACACAGGCAATCCAGGAAGTTTTTGGAGAATGTTGGGGATAACTTCTTGGTACAAGTGCTGAAGGCTCCAACCAGGGGCCGTGCACACCTTGACCTTCTGCTCACAAACAGGGAGGAACTAGTAGGGGAAGTAGAGGTGGGTGACAACCTGGGAAGCAGGGATCATGAGATGGTAGATTTCAGGATCCTGACCAAAGGAAGAAAAGAGAGTAGTAAAATACGTACCTTGGACTTCAGAAAAGCAGATTTTGACTCCTTCAGAGACCTGATGGGTAGAATCCCCTGGGATGCTAACATGAAGGGAAAGGAGTCCAGGACAGCTGGCAGTATTTTAAAGAAGCCTTATTGAAGGCACAGAAAGAAACCACCCCGATGCGTAGCAAGAGAGGCAAACATGGTAGGAGACCGGATTGGCTTACAGGGGAAATCCTTGGTGATCTTAAGCACAAAAAGGAAGCTTACAAAAAGTGGAAACTTGGACAAATGTCCAGGGAGGGATTTAAATGTATAGCTTGAGAATGCTGGTGGGTTATCAGGAAGGCAAAAGCGCACGTGGAATTGCGACTGGCAAAGGATGTGAAGGATAACAAGAAAGGTTTCTACAGGCATGTTAACAAGAAGAAGGTGATCAGAGAGGGTGTGGGGCCCCTACTGGATAAAGAAGGTAACCTAGTGACAGATGATGTAGGGGAAGCTGAATTACTCAATGCTTTCTTTGTTTCTGTATTCGTGGACAAGGTCTGCTCTCAGACTAATGCGCTAAGTGACGCAAGATGGGATGAAAATCGACAGCCCTTGGTGGGGAAAGAACAGGTTAGAAACTATTTAGAGAAGCTAAACATACACAAATCCATGGGTCCAGACTTAATGCATCCGAGGATACTGAGGGAGTTGGCAAATGTCATTGAGTAGCCTTTGGCCATTATTTTTGAAAAGTCATGGAGATCAGGAGAGGTCCTGGATGATTGGAAAAAGGCAAACGTAGTCCCCATCTTTAAAAAAGGGAAGAAGGACAATCCAGGGAACTATAGGCCGGGTCAGTCTTCCCTCGGTTCCTGGAAAAATCATGAAAGGGATCCTTAAGGAATCCATTTCGAGGCAAGAGAGGAAAGTGATTGGAAGAGAGGAAAGTGATTAGAAATAGTCAGCATGGATTCACAAAGGGCAAGTCATGCCTGACCAATCTGATTAGCTTTTATGATGAGGTAATTGGCTCTGTGGACATGGGAAAATCAGTGGATGTGATATACCTTGACTTTAGCAAGGCTTTTGATACTAAGACCTGAATGAGAGGGCTTTCCTGGGAGGTTCCCACCCACCTGCCACTGTTCCCCGCTGCACCGTAGTGCGCTATCCCTGCAATCAGGGAAGTGGAAAGTGCCTGCAGAAACTGAGAGCCAAGCGCCGGGGGAAAGCAAAGGTCTGACTGGCAGGGGCACCATTTAGGAGGGGCAGGAGGGCTCTAGCCCCCTCCACTGAATTTCGTACCTGAGGTCTGCTCACCCTAGCCCCAGATGGCGCTCTTAACCACAGCCCATTCATGAGATGTGTCATGAATTGAGGAACTGGAACAGCCCAGCCTTTGGGGCAGGGTGTCTGCTTGTGAACAGAGTCAGGGTGACTAAGACAGCAAACGTCTTGTAATTAAAGAACATCAAGGCTCACTAGATGATCCTGGTAGCATTGCCAGGCACTTCAGTTAAAAGACTGGAAACAAAGACTAGGAATAACCGGTGTGAATCGGGAGAGGTAACTGGTGGTGTCTGTACTGAACCAGGGCCACATCTGGAGGATTGTGTCCAGTTCTGGGCCCCCCACTACAGAAAGGATGTGGACGCATTGGAGAGGGTCCAGCGGAGGGCGACCAAAATGATTCAGGGGCTGGAGCACAGGACCTACAAGGAGAGACTGAGGGAGCTGGGTTTGTTCAGTCTGCAGAAGAGAAGAGTGAGGGGGGATTTGATAGCAGCCTGCAACTTTCTGAAGGGAGCTTCCAAAGAGGGTGGAGAAAGGCTATTCTCAGTGGTGACAGATGGCAGAACAAGGAGCAATGGTCTCAAGTTGCGGTGTGAGAGGTCCAGGTTGGATATTAGAAAAAACTATTTCACTAGGAGAGTGGTGAAGCACTGGAATGTGTTGCCTAGGGAAGTAGTGGAGTCTCCATCCCTAGAGGTGTTTAAGTCACAACTTGACAAAGCCCTGGCTGGGTTGAGTAAGTTGGGATTGGTCCTGCCTAAAGCAGGGGGCTGGATTTGATGACCTTCTGAAGTCTTTTCCAGCTCTATGATTCTATGACATTTCATTTCCAAGATATGCTCTTTTCTACCTCCCAATACCTAAGAGCATTTTAAAATATCACACAGATTTCTAACAATATAAATTCTAGATTGAGGGCTGGGGATAGAACTGGCTCCAGCAGCATGTGTTATATTCTTTCTAAGTTTTATAATGAGACCTCATGTTAATACACCTAAATCCTTCCTTTCTCCTAAACAAAGTAACTAAAGGTGTGAAGGTGTGTATATATTTAATTTCCCTGTACAAGGTAAGAGAAGTGCAAAAAGAAGAGGAAAGGAAGTACTTTTTAAAACTACAGTTATTTTAAGATACTTGCAGCAAGCGAAAAATAATCTTACCTTGAGACAGTTATTTCCTGACAGACAGATTAATGCAAACAATTAACATTTCAAATGAGATATTTGTAAGTAAAGCTGCATTTCTGGTTATGGTCACAAGGGAGCATTACATTCTTGTATTTTATCTTGCCAAAACAATATTTAATTTCTAGGTTAGATTTACACCAGCCTTTCTTCAGTTATTTTCAGATACAGCTATCTTGAGTGGTTTGTACCTTCTTAAAAATGAAGATGACACTCAAGTACAAGAACTTCACATTCCTTAATTGATTTCTGTAGGAATAGCAAGCTTTCTGTAAACCCGAAAGTGCCCAAATTTGGCACATGTGCTACTATAGTGATTTAATGCAGTCCTTTCTTGTGGAAACTTATTATAAGACTTGTTTTTTGTTGAAAGGAAGACTTTCATCTACTCTCATAAAGTTTGAAATGGGGAATCTTAAATACAAAGTCAGAACTAGACTTACAGGAATGGATTAAGGCAGATTGGCAAATCTTTAGGGAAACTCTATCTACTTCTTCCTTAAACACTTTCTTGTTTTTCAGGGTCATCAAACCTGCTGATTTTGCAAACCTGTCCTTGCTGGGCTTTGGAGACATATTTGCCCTACTGTTTGACAACAAATACTTGTATATAATGGACTTGAGGACAGAAAAACTGATTAGCCGCTGGCCCCTGCCGGAATATAGGAAGTCAAAGAGAGGTTCAAGCTTTTTGGCTGGAGAAATGTCTTGGCTAAATGGACTAGATGGCCAAAATGACATGGGTCTGGTTTTTGCCACCAGTATGCCAGACCACAGTATTCATTTAGTATTGTGGAAAGAACATGGCTGAAGATGTCGCAAGCTATTCATGAGTCTGGGACTGGAAGCAGCGTGTCCATGAAAGAAGATTTTGCATGAACCAAAGTTGCACACCTAATGGTATCATCATGCAATGCACAATCATTTACCATTTGTTTTCTAGGGCATTTGGGAGAGATGAGCTTGTTTTGACGTAACACAGCACAGCATGCTAACAATATTTGCCACTGAATTTCATCTGTACTCTTATTTGGATTTTCTTGACAAAGTATAGATTATAAAATTTTAAAATCACTTGGATCAGTTAAGTGTAAAATGAAATGGTGTTTGATCTGAAAGATATCTGCCCTATATCGTTTGCTGAAACGGAAAGTGAAGCTACTATCTTGCGATAGCATTTTAGTCATATAGTGGCAAGTGCTAATCCCACTATTAAAACTGCACCAGAATACTCTCCGTGCACAACTACATGATTTCCTCAACTATCAGTCACTTCAGGAACTTGGTGTCTCCTAATTGTAGCTTTAAACTCTTGGCACCTGAAGTCAAGGGATCAGTAAAGTTCTTTTGCCTCTGTCAGAATATTTCTTGATGACAGCTATAGCTTGTTCTGCTTTAAGGAGAGAGCTGTGCTGATGTGATATTTCCTTCCCTGGGCCAAAATCATAAACATAATCAGCACATATAACTGCAGGATTTGAACTTGGATAATTTTTGAGGGAGTGTTTTTCCACAATTCACTGCTGGAGTGGAGGTGGAACAGTCTCTTCTGGAACACAGTAAAACTAACGTTCAAGTTTAGTATGCAATTACACAGTTATTGAACAAATATTTTGGACCATTTCTTGGTCTTTCCTCAGGGACTGAAACACTGAGTATTTATTTGCACAAAATTCTGCAACAGTTCACTGACTATGGATTCACTAACATTGTGTAACTGATTTCTAGAATTTGATTGCTAGAGCACAGCTTAAGCCATACATTTAGGGAAAACATTGAAGGGAAGGTAACTTGTTTAAGCACTCGGCAGCAGGCTTCAGGTGACATCTAGGTCTGTCCAACATATTAGTGTGCTTATAATAAATTCAAAGTACCTGTTAAATCTGGAGTAGAGATGAAAATGGAGTTTATTCACAGAATTCAGAATATGAAAAAATGCAGCTAAATTAATCCATTGTGCTCTTCTCTGACTAGTGGTGGTAGGCCTGACTAATGGAAAAACTTTTAATGAATATTTTAATAGTATATATTCATCAGACGTTATGATGAAACTGACTTGTGTAAGAACGGCCATATTTGGTTAGATGAAAGGTCCATCTAGCTCAGTATTCTGTCTTCTGACAGTGACCAATGCCAGGTGCCCCAGAGGGAGTAAAACAGAACAGGGAATCATCATATGATCCCTCCGCTGTTTCCCATTCCCAGCTTCTGACAAACAGAGGCTAGGGCAAACATTATGATATGATAGGAGATTGCCTATCTCCTAGAACTGGAAGGGACCTTGAAAGGTCATTGAGTCCTAACCCCTGCTTTCACAGCAGGATCAAGTACCATCCCTGACAGATTTTTTGCCCCAAATGGCCTCCTCAAGGATTAGAGCTCTCAATGCTGCGTTTAGCAGGCCAATGCTCAAAGCATTGAACTATCCCTCCACCCTAACCCTAACTATTACCATTCCTACCCATCCTGACTAATAGCCATTAATGGACCTACCCTCCGTGAATTTATCTAGTTCTTTTTTGAGTACGGTTAAAGTCCTGGTCTTCACAACATCCTCTGGCAAGGAGTTCCACAGGTTGACTCTGCGCTGCATGAAGAAAAACTTCCTTTTGTTTGTTTTAAACCTGCTAACTATTAATTTTATTTGGTGACCCCCTAAGTTCTTAGGTTATGGGAACAAGTAAATAACTTATTCACTTTTTCCATACCAGTCATGATTTTATAGACCTGTATCATAGCGCCCCTTAGGCTCCTCTTTTCTAAGCGGAAAAGTCCCAATCTTTTTTAGGGATGTGAAGGACTAGTCGACCATCTGATAAGCAAATGCTTATTGGATAGTCAACAGGCTAGTCACTTCCCTACCCTTGCTGCCTCTAGCAGAAAGGGAGCAGAGGGACCTTCAAAGCAGCAGTGCTGCTTGGAGCCTGGGACTGCACCCTGGCCTCCACACAGCGCTGCCACTTTGAAATGCCACATTCAGCCCTAGGATTCTGACACACCCCAGGTGGCCCCAGGCTGCAAGAGACTAGCTCACTGCCCAAAGCAGGACCAACCCTAACTAAACCATCGCAGCCAGGGCTTCAAAAACCTCAAGCTGGGAATTAAAAACCTGAAGGGATGGAAATTCTACTCCCCCTCCCCCCAGTAACCTATTCCAGTACTTTTCACCTTCCTTGTGAAATAGTTTTTCCTAATAGCCAACCTAGACCTCCCCCGCTGTAACTTGAGACCATTGCTTGTTCTGCCATCTGTCATTACTGAAACAGCTTATCTCCTGCCTCCTTGGCACCTGCCTTCAGGAAGTTGAAGGCTGCTATCAAGTCCCCCCTCACCCTTCTCTTCAGACTAAATAAGAGCAAATCTCTCAACCTCTCCTTGTAGGTCATGTGCTCCACCCCCAAAATAATTTTGGATTTGGGTCACCCTCGGCTAACCCCCAGCCAATGCATCTGCATCCTTTCTATAGTGGGACGAGGGGGGGCCAGAATTGGATGCAGTACTCCAGAAAAGGCCTCACCAGTGCAGAATATAGGGGAATAATCACTTCTCTAGCTCGGCTGTAACTCCTTCTAATGTATACTAATATGCCATTAGCCTTTTTGGCTACAAGGGCACACAGTTGACTCATATCCAGCTTCTCAGCCACTGTAATCCCCAGATCCTTTCCTGCCAAACTGCTACTTAGACAGTCGGTTCCCCGCCTGTGTGTGGGAGTCTTCTGTCCGAAGTGCAGGACTCTTCACTTGTCCTCGTTGAACCGCTTCAGATTTCTTTTGGCCCAAGCCTCTAATCTGTCTAGGTCACACTGGACCCTATCCCTGCCCTTCAATGTAGCTACCTCTTCCCCTAGCTTGGTGTCAGCTGCAAATTTGCTGAGGGTGCAAGCTATCCCCTCAATAAAGATGTTACACAAAACCAGCCCTGGAACCAATCCTTATGGCACCCTGCTTGAAACTGACTGCTAATCTGACATTGAGCTATTGATCACTACTCATTGGGCCCAACTTAAGCTTTCTATCCACCTTACAGTCCATTTATTCAATCCATATTTCCTTAACTTGCTGGCAAGAATATTGTGGGTGACCGAATCAAAAGCTTTGCTAAAGTCAAGTTATAGCACAGCCACTCACTTCCCCAGATCCTCATCATAGAAACTAAGTAGATTGGCATGACTTGCCCTTGGTGAATCCATAGTGACTATTCCTCATCACATTCCCCTCTTCCAAGTGCTTCAAAATGGATTCCTTGAGGCTCTCCTCCATGATTTTTCCAGGGACTGAGGTAAGGCTGATTGGTCTGTAGTTCCCTGGATTGTCCTCCTTCCCTTTTTTGAAGTTGGGCACTACATTTGCCTTTTTCCAATCATCTCCCGATCTCCACGAGTTTTCAACGATAATGGCCAAAGGCTCTGCAATGATGCTTGCCAACTCCCTCAGAACCCTCGGCTACATTAAATCTGGGCCCACAGATTTGTGTATGTTTAGCTTTTCTAAATAGTTCCTAACTTGTTTTCCCCCCAAAAGGGTTTTCCATCGCCTTCCCATACAACGTTGCCTAGTGCACTAGTCTGGGAGCTGACCTTGTCCGTGAAGACAGAGGCAAAGAAAGTATCGAGTACTTCAGCTTTTCCCACATCATCTGTCACTAGGTTACCTCCCTCATCCAATAAGGGTCCCACACGGTCCCTGAGCACCCTCTTCTAACATGCCTGTCGAAACCTTTCTTGGTCTCCTTCTCAGCCCTTGCTAGCTGCAATTCCAATTGTGCTTTTGTCTTCCTGATTACTCCCCTGCATTCCGGAGCAATATATTTATACTCCTCCCTAGTTATCTGACCAAGATTCCACTTCTTGTAAGCTTCCTTTTTGTGTTTAAGCTCACCAAGGATTTTCCTGGTAAGCCAATATGGTCACCTATCATAGTTGCTTTTCTTACTGTGCATCGGGATGTTTTAGTCCTGTGCCTTTAAATACTGCCAGTTCTCCTAGACTCCTTTCCATGTCAGAATCCTTGGGATCCTGCCATCACAGCTCTTAGGAAATCAAAGTCTGCTTTTCCATCCCTAGGCTGCACACAGTGTTTCAAAGCTGCAACGCCACACAGCGCCCAAGTCAATGGGAGAGTCCCCAGCTGACCCGGGCTCCATGTGGCATGTTCACCTTTGAAGTGTAGCAACAGCCCCAGTGCTGTTGCTACACTTCAAAGGCGGAGGGATCCTCTCGACTAATCAAATAATCAGTGCAAAATGCATTTATTCCATTAGTCATTAGTCAATATTTAATATCCCTAGTCTTTTTAATATTGCTTCATATGGGACCTGTTCCAAACCCCAGTCATTTCTGTTGCCCTTTTCTGAATGGCAAGATACTTTTTTCCGATGAGACCACCACCTCTGTACACAGTATTCAAGATGTGAGCATACCATGGGTTTATATAGCAGCAATAAGTTATTCTATGGCTTATTCTTTATCCCTTTTTTGATGATTCCTAACATTCTGTTTGCTTTTTTGACTGCTGCTGCACATTGAGTGGATGTTTTCGGAGAACTATCCACAATGACTCCAAGATCTCTTTCTTGAGTAGTTATAGCTAAATTAGTAGCCATCAATATGATTGGTTGGGATTATTTTTTCCAATGTGCTTTACTTTACCTTTATCAACATTAAATTTAATTTGACATTTTGTTGCCTAGTCACCTAGTTTGGTGAGATCTTTTTGAAGCGCTTCACAGTCTGCTTTGGTCTTAACTATCTTGAGCAGTTTAGGATCATCTGCAAATTTTGCCACCTCACTGTTTACCCCTTTCTCCAAATCATTTATAAATAGGTTGACTAGGATTGGGCCTAGCACAGACCCTTGGGGAACACCACTAGCTACTCCTCTCTCCTCTGAAAACTGACCATTTATTCCTACCCTTTGTTTCCTGTCTTTTAACCAGTTATCAAGCCATGACAGGACCTTTCCTCTTATCCCATGACATCTTACTGTACCTAAGAGCCTTTGGTGAGGGACCTAGTCAAAGATTTTCTGGAGCTCTTAAGTACACTATATCCAAGGGATCCCCCTTGTCCATAT